CATTAATCTATTACAATTCCAAAGAGATGAAATAGAAAGTATAAAAATTTTAATGCTTGTATGGACAAGCTGCGACTTTAGATAGAAAAAACAATAGCTAATAAGTAGAGAAGGCATTTTTATATATAAGTGACAAAGAGAGATATTGCCTACCACAAACACATTTATTTATTATATTTTATTATTGAGTGCCGTGCAATTTTTATCTACAAACAAAAACAGCCGTCATAGCAGCGATGCTTGCGCGAGTCTCCTGCTCTCTCTTGGATTTTATGAATATTTATTTTATAATATATGTAAAATATGCACCTTTCTCTGTTTTGTTATTCTCTATTAAGAAATATATGTCTCTATATAATATAATGAGACAATTTTTATATGTATTCTCTACATTTGCAAGTAAAAATAATCTTTACTACTATTCATCATAATTTACAGTTCATTAATTTACGAACCGAAAAGAAAGTTTGGTAGATACTTTATTTGTTTGAGATTGAGCAGCAAAAGAACGATTGTATAAAAGCTCTCTCGGGGAACCGCCGGGCGCACTCAATCGTGAACTACATCCGTGATAGTGTGTTATTATATCGTCTAAACTCTCGTGATAGAAAAGTCGCTCGCTTTTCCAGTTCGTACTCTCGCTTACGAAACGCGAAGTTTTCGATAGTAATAAAAGAGATTTCTCGTCGCTCGCGATTAACCTCTCGCAATTAAAACGCGCCGTTTATTCCGTCGCTCGCGGAATCACGCCGTTTATACCGTCGCTTGCGGTATTCAAGATACATCCGCCGCTCGCGGAAAGTATCTTTGCGCGTCCGGTGCAAACGCGATCTCGCAGGGCTTCTCTCGCCCACGTCCATTTCTTTCCCGCATATTATTGGTTTATATTATCCAATACGCATGTTGGCAGAACAACTAAATTACTTTGACATATAATGTAAAAATAAAATTCATAATTATTGCTCTAGGAAAAGTCTGCTTTTTTATAAATAGACAAGCTTATATAAATAGATACAAAGCTTATAGATATATATTTATCGTCTGAATGTCGAAATGAAATATTTTATTTGTATATTACTTTATATATAAATTTGATAACATGGATAAATATGGATAAAATATATCAAACGTTCTTTGTCCTTCATAAATTAATAAATAGCTGTAAGTAATAATCAAATGTCATAAAAATTATTTTTAAAGCAAATGTGAAAAATATACAATAGAGTATATTATTTAGATGTATTTACAATAATATTAAAAATTGCAATGTGATCAAAATAGTGGAATATATTTAAGTGAAAAAAATTTTTAATTCAAAAGACAAATTTAAGTATAAAATAACTTTTCAATTAGAGAAAAACTTGACGCTGTTAAATTCAAAATATAAATAACACGTTAATTAGATTAGCATATATTCAATTTAGCAGCCTCAAGTTTTTCTCTAATTAAAAAGTTATTTTATACTTAAATTTGTCTTTTGAATTAAAAATTTTTTTCACTTAAATATATTCCACTATTTTGATCACATTGCAATTTTTAATATTAGAAATAATAATAAATGAATTTTGTAAAATAAATTTTTATTAATTGGCGCAATATTTTTACATCATTATTTTTGTAGAATATTAAAACAACTAGTTTGTAAAACAGTTTTTTAGTTTGGATATGACAGTGTTTTTGTATTAAAATAACATTATTTTGTATAAGAATTTTTCACAACAAATTGAAATAACACTATTTTGTATAAGAGTATTTTTATAGCGAAAGGCGCTTGTGCGCGTGCACTTGGCGCCTTTTTTCACTTTTTTTAAAAAAAGGTAATTTTTTAGCAATTATATCATTTCTTTTTTTACTGTATGTTATATATTATCTTATTTTTGCAATCAGATTAAATGAATACACCTATTAAATTTCTGAATTATATCATAAAAGCAACTCTTTCATTTCTTTGATTGTTACTATACGCTTGTGCTATACTATAAATTACGAGAAAGTAACTTATTGCGTATTTCATGTATGCTCTATTAAATGAAAATGCATCAATTAATTTGTTTTTATGTAGGGAGACGAGAAAACAGAAAGAATAAAGTCATACGAATATAATAATATAATAATGAACTAGCAGAGAGAGAGAGAGAGAGAGAGAGAGAGAGAGAGAGAGAGAGAAAGAGAGAGAGAGAGAGATTGATTGGTGATTGATTGATTGATCTTTATTAGCTTTCTCAGCTATTTGTGATACAGATCTAGTTTACATTAAATACAATATACTCCTTTTACAATTGTTTAAACCGTTCAATTTTTACATCGTTTTATCAGCTGATAAGGCATTATACACTTCAATTCCTTCGTACAATATACTCTTTTTGTGCACTCATAGTTCATAGTTCTACGAAATTACAATGTCCTCAACTAACAGCGTTGCACAATCAAAGATAGGAAGAGAGGGACGGATTTGTCCGATTTTTACTAGCTTTCTCAGCTATTTGCATTACAAATCCTCAACCCAGCAGTCAATCCAGTCTCCGACAGTGCTATGCGTGATTCATTATCTTCATATCTGATGCTGTATCTTCTTCCTTCTGTAGTTGTTACTAGTGTCCTCCCAGCCGGCTCTCCTCTTTTCTTCCTGTATCGCCCTTTTAAATGTCGGACATTCCAGATCAAGGGCGTCATGCTCATCTTTTATTTTCAAGTTGTATGTTTGAATCTTAAACATACAATTTATACATCTTTTGTTTGTCGCCGTGCATTCAATCGCTCTATGATTTTTTGTATATTTGTGGCATGTTTCATTTCGTGTACAATTCTTTGCAATATGATAATAACCCCAGCATTTAAAACACCTTTTAATATTAATGTGATTAAATACCAGACACTTTCTCCATCCTACATTCAGTTTTCCCATGCTCAACATTATTTCATGAGTTTTTTCATCTGCTTCAATTATTACAGAACCTTCTTCTTTACCTCTTCTTCCGGATTGACTTTTAACTATTTTCTTCACTATTCGCATATGAATTTCTTCATTCTTCGCGTCGATCTTGTTCTGCTTTTTGATTGTAACTATTAAATTATCATCATTCAACTTCATTTCTTCTTCGCCAATATTGACAATTTTTATCTTAGGTTTCATCCGCGGTGACTCAGTTACTTTGAAATTTTCGCCCAGCTTGGCTTGTACTGTAGCCTTTAATTTTTCCATTTCTTCTTCAGTCTCACAACCCAGAATCACTGTTCCCTTGCTTCCTTTTTTTAGCCTCGTTACTCCCACAGGCATATTCTTGATGTTTATCTTTTCTTTTATAAATTTTTTAGTAACTTCACTCTCCTGTTGCATCTTAGGTTTGACAATTATAATATTTTCTTTTTTATTCTCTTTAACTGCATCAGTATAACTTCTTTGTGCTCCTTCTGACGGTCCTGAAGTTCCTTCTTGTATCATTCTTCTCAATTATCCCATTTCTTGTTTAAAATTTTCCAATTCTTGTCGAACTATTTCCTTAATCATCATCTTGACTTCCTTTTTACACGCTGTTTCATCTTTTATTTCCTTCACTATTTTTATAAGCCAATCTATTTTTACCTTTCCGCTGATCCACTCGCGCCTGCTACTCTGTTTCCACTGCTTAATGCCGTATTCCCCGTTGATCTTCCCGTCGATGTCATAGCTGCTTCTTTATCGCTATCAATAATAAATTTGTCAAATGGTTCACGACACGCCACCAATTTGTGATTTCCATTATATATTTTATGCTTAATTACACATCCTGGATGGTAAAAAAGTTTATCGCAAGACTTGCATGTTACAGCTTGGTTCTTTATTGCCTTCTTACATGCCGAGCATCGATATACGTCGTATTCTTCCATATCAATATTTACCGGTCGAAACTGCTAATATCAGCATAGGCGATCAGTCACCTTTGCGTCCACTTTCACACGTCAGCACTTTGTCCACCTTCAATGTCCACCTGCCGTACGAGACTTGGGCGTCCCATACAAGAAATGTAGTTCTTATGTTCAAATCAGCATACTGCAGCTAGATAACACTCATGGCTATTCCCGGTCTATGTAGCTATTACTTCAATAACTTTTTACCACTCTCCCTCATTATTTAACTACTTAAAAATTATCACTTTTATAGAGCGATGTTTGACACGTCTTCTCCATCGCAGAGAGAGAGAGAGGGGGGTGAGGAGAAAGAGGGGAGAGGTAGAGTGAGGGAAAGGGGGAGAGGAAATGAGGGGAGGGAGGAAGGGTGGGAGGGAAGGAGGGAGGGGTGAGAGAGAGAGAGAGGATACTGCAATAATGTTAGTGCGTACATGTATATTACTCTCACACGCATGAAAGAGACAAAGATAGTACGATTATGTCTGTCCTTGTCATGTAAGATTGCAGCTCTGTCTATCGCGACATCACGCAACTAATCTACTGCTCTGTTTTATTCTTCAGTCTCGATCTCGCACACACACATATGCACAAAAGTTTTGCATAGTAAAATCTTTTTTATAAAGCTTCTAAACTTCCTTCTCCAAATTCACTCTTTGATGAAATGCCGAGTGCGGGATCCACTTGTTAGGCACGTGGAAATTACAAATCTTTTATATTATGCAAATGTTGATGGCAGAAGCCGATAACAAAACTGTAATTTGTAATTTTTTTTCACTTTTTGCATGAAATCATATATCCCGCACTACGTTACTATGTGTACTTTAATTATGGAAAATGATTTATTAATATCTATAATCAACAAAAATATTTTGCATTTTGACTAATATTCACAATCTATCGGTAAAACAGAACAGTCCGACATCCTTTTAATAGTGAGCAATTTTTTTAAAGCATTTTCATTGCGCCTGTTCCATTTATTATTACTTTAGTGCATATTTGCGGAATTCAGATGTTGTATTAACTTCGGAACTCATTCGTAGTCGTTTTTTATTTTGCAACCGGTTGCGAGGAATCTTTATCAGATGCGGCGTATCGGAAAACACGAAAACTTTTTACTCGCTGTCCAGAGGGTGGCTAAACCATGTTTTCGTGTCATCGATAGAGGTGGAAATGCCTAATAGCGACCACATATTCTTATTCGTGGATGCGCCGTCAGCAATTATCCCGTGAATTTTTGCTCCACTTTCTTCGAGGTACGCAATGGCTTTGACCGCAATCTTCGCTAATTCTTTCCCTTTAACAGGGTTTTTCGATGCGAAAACAGCAATAGGTTGTGTATACGTATCAGCAAGCGATTGGAATATGATAAATAAACCATGAGTTGCTTGATCATCAATGTCGGTAGACTGTGGCTCATCGTTACCAAAATTAGTCAAACCAACGTAGGTAAGATTTCTCGAGCAAACTGAGACAGACCTTCGCAAATTTATTTCATCCAATAAAAACACGCCGTGACGCTGCAGAGATGGTTTACGCTCAAAATGTTTCTTAAGAAGTTGCTTCTTAAAAAGCCGTCATCAAAATCGCATTTCATATTAATCATAGAAAAATAGCCGCGAGTCGTCCATGTACAGGGTAGTGGCAGAACGTTATTTTTGCGCAGAAACTCATAATATCCCGGCGAGCGGATGTTTATCAATATGCATAACATTATCCACTCCTCTGTATAGCATCGAACTCTCGGATCTTTCTTTGTCGCAACCTCTATTACTTCCTTGAGCGCAATTTTTTGAGCGGCTGGAACGTTCAAACCAGAACAGTTTCTCTCCAAGCTTTCAGCATTGATTCTCGATATTTCTTCTTTTTTGTCCTTCAACGATTGCAGTAATAATGCCATTCGTACTTTAGCGCGGTTCTTGTCTTTCGCAACTATTTCTTTTTCGCATTGTTGTTAATTTATTTTTCTCCACTGGGTTTGATGATCTGAAGATGCGACGCAATGTTTTGCACTTTTTAAATCTTGCCTCCTTCTGTAATTGTACTTTCCGTATTTTTAAACAATTATCGCATCTCTTCCTTTTCGAGATTAGAGAGCAGTTGTTGTGCTGCCATTGCTGAAAGTAGTTTTGAAATACATTGTCAGCTTGCAGGTGATAAACATTAACGGCGTCTATGCCGTTGCATACGTTCATTCCCCCGAATGTATCCAAAATATTTGGCAATACTTCGATTTTATTCAAGACTTCAATGAGCTTCGCTTCCTCTGAATTAACGAAACGTCCGTAAATATAGTAACGTAGTGTTTTATCAGAGTGGAGAGTTACACACTTCTAAATTATTGGCGAATCTACTCCGTTTTTCGTTATCGTTCTAGCATACAAGAATAGGAGTCTCTGTCCGGATACTTCCGATAATTGTGAGACGCTCCACGATTTAGATACTGCAGCAGAATAGGTTTTCTGATCTTCGACATTACCCACTTGTTGATTAGTACCTGGAATCAGTTGTATTCTATTTAGGAAACAATATACAACGATTATACAAAATCTCCGTAAGCAATTAACGAGTAACAATAAATAAAAACGAGTGAAATATCTAATAAACTTTGATCGACAAAATCATTCGTACAAGTATGTGCACGGTTACTCGCACGATGGACAGTTTGCTGACGACTTTCATGCACGCCCTCAAAAAGGAATTAATTTTTCATTGACGCCAACATTGATTGACATTTTGCTTCCTCATACAGGAATCTTTTCATGAAAATTTTTTTTTTCGACATTTTCATATCGGGATACTCAAAATTGTGTTAAACGATTGTTTTACAGGATTTAGAATTTTTCGAGAAATGACATCATATCAACTATGACCAGTTGTACTGAAATTTTCTACGGGAACAAAATAATATTCAGCGGTGCTAGATATTTAATTTAATGAAGATTGGTAGAAAAGTTCAGATTTTATGATATAAAAACTATATTATAATAATAATTTGAATTGCTAAAAAAATGGTCACTTTATAATAAAAATAACTATACACTTCCTCACTTACGTTCATTAATTATCACGGTCGGATAATCGAAACTCCTATCATATTCTGACTCTGACACTGGTATTGTTGCTTCAGATGAAGCTAATACTTCCAGACACTCTTGTTGATCCAAAGAACTTGCAATGTTGATATATGAAACCTCGGAGGTAGAATTCGAGTGTTGCCTTTTCACAAGAATTTCATCCAAGGCTAAGAAATCAATAATCGCAATGTCAATAATATTAGAACTACAATATAATCCAAAGCTAATGTACATTGCAAAGAACATACTACTTGTGGCTGAATGACGATCACCCACTTCGTTAATCAGTACAGGTAGAAGAGAAAGTTCATCACTGATCAATGAATTATCACTATATACAGTAGAATTCTCAGCAAGTGATGCCACTGCAAGTGATTGCTGCATGTCGTTATCACCAAATATTGTTGGTATGGCGCAGCTGTCTAATCAGGGATGCTTGAACGGAACCTGAAGAGAAAAATACATTTATTAACAACGAAAATAAATAGCACAAAAAATTGATTGTGGTATATGGCTAAAGAAATGTATATGAAAAACTTACTTCTGCAATAACTTTTCCGTTAGCGAGTTTAACATATTTCCTGATTATGTATTTGTCCTCGAAATGCTGTTTGCAAATAAAATGCGAAGATTTCAATTTTAAATACGCCGAGTATCGTGGCTTCCCATCGTTTCAACATACCGGCTTCATCCGGCACTTTAAAAATAGAGTTATTTCTCACGTTTTTGTAATTTGATTTAAACCCCAGAACGGCGCACGATCTCCCCATTTTGCTGCATACACTTATCCGGAGATGCGTTGTTTTTTTTAACACAAATGTAAACCAAAGAGCATGCACGAATTTGAAGCACTATAACAGTAAGAAGAACACATCGTCGAACAAGAAATTTTGAGGTTACGTTCACCAAGTGCAGTCGATAGCAGCGACACGTGATGGCGATGCCATAAATTACAAAAATGCTTCAATATCCGAGTCACTCCCTACCATTGAAATTTGTCAGAGTTGCAAGACTTGTGTATACGACTGTGAGAGCGGCGAACATTTCGCTCTCGTTCTAAACAGTCGGAAAGTCTAGAAGGAGTCGCAGTCGGTGCGGATGCCGAGAATGCTAGGCGGAGACTGCGAACTCGTCAATCCCTCGTTCCATCATTTTGCATGTATCAGGATCGGTTTATCGGAAAGCTCGTACAACTCGAATGGCTTCAGGTCGGTACCTGAACCACCAGACCGGTCTGGTGTCTGGAGATGTTTCGGCAGTCCTTTTATATCCGAGTAATAACGGTCGTTTTCCCGCTGTGAGGAAACGATGCGTTCATCATTAATTACCGCTATCGAAAACAACGCGTCGTTATCCCTACCATAGGGACAAGACGCGGTTACCGTTAATCATTCGGGTATAAAAAGACCGCCGAAACATCTTCAGATACTAGACCGGTATCTGAAGCCACTCGAGCTGTACGCACGAGATATTCCAAAACCGATCCTGACAAATCACGAAACGATGGAACGAGAGGTTGACGAGTTCGCAGCCTCCGCCGAACATTCTCGGCATCCGCATCGACTGCGAATCCTTTCAGACCTTCTGACCGTTTAGAACAAGAGCGGAGTGTTCGCCGCTCTCCTCGAGAGTTCTCGAGCTACGGTCTAATATCCGGCCGCACCGGCCAGCCGGACAGTGGGTTAGCGAGTTCGCTGCCCCGTCGAACTTTCTCGACTCCACCGATCATCCTTAAATCCACATACGGAATAGGGACGGAGAATTCTCCGCCCGATTTCCCGATTTCGTACCGCATCCCCGAACAACTGGGAATACGCGACGCGTCAATAAACAATGACGCTTCATTTACGCCACCGTAAATCATGGACTCGCCATCCGCGCAATTAACCGTCGCGCCGAATAATCGCCGCACCGTTTCTTTTGTATCTTGCGCCCGTAATAATAAACACGGTCTCGCCATACGCGCACTTAGCGCCGCGCGCCGAATAACCGCTGCGTCTTTATAATTATATCTCGCGCGTTCTATTGTATCTGCGGAATTCTCCACACGCGCATATTATTGCAATACGCGCCGAACAATCGCCGCATTTTAAATATCTCGCGCTGAAACATCCGCCGCGCGCCCGCTTCGCGGGATTTAATTGTAAACTGACCATTGTCGAAAGAAGTAAATAAACAGACCATTTAAATCACGCGTCTTTCATAATTATATCTTGCGCACTGAATCATCCGCACGTGCACATCACAATCCGCGCCGATCCATCGCGCGTTAAATAACTCGCGCCGTAACATCAGCCGCGCGCTCGTTTAGCGGAATTTAGTCTATTGTAAACTGATTATTGCCGAAGGAGGCAAATAAACAGACCATTTAAATCACGCGTCTTTCGTCGTGTCTCAACCCTTTCATGAGCCCTGATCCCGACCGAGCTAATCCGTACTCGCGAAAGCGGCTCGTTACAAAAATATTAAATAACCCTGGACTTAGTGGGCATCCCTGTCTTACCCCACTCCCCAATCAAAATTCTTCACTTATTTCACCTCCTACCTTTACCCTATTTTTTGTTTCTCTTAATATCTCCTTTATTTTCTCTACCAATCTCTCCCTTACTTCTCTTTTCCTTAGTACCTTAATCAGTATTTCTCTGTCCACTGAGTCGAAGGCCGCCTTGAGATCGAAAAATAAACATATTAATTTTCCTTTTTCTTTGCTCAGCCTCTTCTGTACTAAGTAATTCAGCACATACACATTGTCCATTGCCCCTCTGCCTCTCCTGAACTCTGATTCTCCGGTATAATCCCTTTCTTTTCTGTTTTTTCCCTTAATCTTTCGGCTAAAATCAATGTGTAAATCTTAAATAATGTATGATGTTTCACCTTTCCCGACGCCGCGGATCAAGGCTCGCCGGTGCCAGGATTCAGGAGAAGGGGGAAACTCCAATTCACTCTTTCTCAGTATAAGCGGTTAAACAATTGGTTTATTTAAAAGTTACTAAAGATATTTATTAACGATTTGACACTGAAAGCTACATTATGTATACTATGCAACATGCGGGAACGATGCGTACAGAAGTTTGCGAACACTATACTATTTTACAATGCATCAGGCGAGAGCGGTGCGTACAGAAACTCGCGCACGCGGTTCTATGTGTTGGCTGGTGTGCGTAAAGCTCGGGAAGCGAGCGCGGCTTGTGCGGACGTGTTCTGTAGTAGCGGTATTTGTATGCAAGCAATTAGCGGTATTTCACTACAGACAGAATAGATCTTAAATACTACGGGGCGTCGCGTGGCCTTTAATGTAATTTCAACCGCCTGATCGCCTTATCCTTAGAAGGACGGGGCGTCGGCACTTTCTGCGGCTTATCCTTAGAAGGACTAGCGCGCTTGAGTAGTCTAAAGGCCGTGTATAAAGGTGGAGTCGGCGCGACACTGGTAGCTATCCTAATACGGGCAATTAACTCTACAATCACAATGCTCGGCCTGATGGCCGGTCTAGACGCGGTATATACAACGCGGTCTTACGGTCTAGCGGGTCGCAGTTTAGATACAAAACGGTCTTACTGATTAACCGGTCGCGGTATGTACAAAGCAGTACTAGAGTTTAACAAGATGCGGAGACCCAAGTGGTCTGACGGTTTTAACTGGTTACGGTATATACAAAGTGGTACTAGAGTCTATCAGGGCGCAGAGACCAGAGTGGTCTGGCGGTATATACAAGGCGGTACTAGAGTCCCTTAGGATGCGGAGATCAAAGCGGTCTGACGGTATAACAAGTCGCGGTATATACAAGGCGGTACTAGAGTCCCTTAGGACGCGGAGACCAGAG